GGTAATAGGAGCATCTGGGGGTAATAGGAGCATCTGGGCATAAACACACTCCCCAAACATCTACAAAATATTATTTAATTTAATTATTTAAATTAAAAATTAAATTTTTAGCAAATTCTTCCAATTATTCTAAAACTACAATGTCAAAATTATTAATTCTTTTCTCATTTATTGCATATTTTGTTATTTGTGTTTTTTCAATGCGTCAACATCGAACACGAGAAGTTGAAATTCAACATGTGTCTGACCACCCAGAAGGTCAGCGTGATGAAGGAATTGAAGTTTTCACTCCAGGAAGGAACTATCACCACACTGAGAAACAAAAAAAGGCCAAAAAAACTAACATCTATGAAACTTTAGCACCACAGGATCTGGAAGAACAAATTCGAACTCATCATGAAAATAAGGCGAAAGAGAATGAGGAAGCGAATTTGCCGAAGGATGAGGAGGCAAAAACGTCCAAAAATGAGGAGGATTGCTGCGGATGTTCAATTATGTGAAGACTTTTTTGTTAAATTTGGATGTTAGCTTAGTAAAGCATTTTTGAAGTATATTATCTTTGGTTGGCGAAAAATGTAAAAAAACTTTGGTCGAAAGTAAAGTGATTTGTAAACAACTATTAAATTTTTAAAAAAATCTATTAAATTTTTAGAAACCAATTTTATATTTTCGAAGTATATTATTTCATAAAATGTAGTAGTATAAAATTTATATAAATTTGAATTTTTGTTTGTTTAATTTAAACCCTGGAACTCAAAGAAAATATAGAAAAACATTTTAAACATCGAGTCTATTTGAATAGAAAGGTTAGTCAGTATTTTAATTAATTATCAATAGGTCCTCTCCGCATCTCCCACTCAATCCTCAAACCGCCAACCAGCCTCTGAAGGTGCGCCAGACCGAAAGGTCTGAGCCGCGTAAATCCATCTTCCATTTGAATTAAGTTGGGGTGAAATCTCAATTTTTTATAAACTCCAACATATCAGATTTGGCAATAAAAAAACAAACGCAAACACATTTTACAACTAGTTGCATTTGTTTGCGTTGTTGAAAACAACCGCAAACACAACATAAATTTTGGGCGTATTAAATTTTTATTAACAATAAATTTTTTTGGCTTTTTGCCTGCCATGCTTTCACAATCAATTGCCCTGTCATTTTAGAGGTTTTTATAGCTATGCTTCTCATTCTCGGGCTTTTTAAAATATTTTTTCAAATAAACAAATTAGGAGCATCTGGGGGTAATAGGAGCATCTGGGGGTAATAGGAGCATCTGGGCATAAACACACTCCCCAAACATCTACAAAATATTATTTAATTTAATTATTTAAATTAAAAATTAAATTTTTAGCAAATTCTTCCAATTATTCTAAAACTACAATGTCAAAATTATTAATTCTTTTCTCATTTATTGCATATTTTGTTATTTGTGTTTTTTCAATGCGTCAACATCGAACACGAGAAGTTGAAATTCAACATGTGTCTGACCACCCAGAAGGTCAGCGTGATGAAGGAATTGAAGTTTTCACTCCAGGAAGGAACTATCACCACACTGAGAAACAAAAAAAGGCCAAAAAAACTAACATCTATGAAACTTTAGCACCACAGGATCTGGAAGAACAAATTCGAACTCATCATGAAAATAAGGCGAAAGAGAATGAGGAAGCGAATTTGCCGAAGGATGAGGAGGCAAAAACGTCCAAAAATGAGGAGGATTGCTGCGGATGTTCAATTATGTGAAGACTTTTTTGTTAAATTTGGATGTTAGCTTAGTAAAGCATTTTTGAAGTATATTATCTTTGGTTGGCGAAAAATGTAAAAAAACTTTGGTCGAAAGTAAAGTGATTTGTAAACAACTATTAAATTTTTAAAAAAATCTATTAAATTTTTAGAAACCAATTTTATATTTTCGAAGTATATTATTTCATAAAATGTAGTAGTATAAAATTTATATAAATTTGAATTTTTGTTTGTTTAATTTAAACCCTGGAACTCAAAGAAAATATAGAAAAACATTTTAAACATCGAGTCTATTTGAATAGAAAGGTTAGTCAGTATTTTAATTAATTATCAATAGGTCCTCTCCGCATCTCCCACTCAATCCTCAAACCGCCAACCAGCCTCTGAAGGTGCGCCAGACCGAAAGGTCTGAGCCGCGTAAATCCATCTTCCATTTGAATTAAGTTGGGGTGAAATCTCAATTTTTTATAAACTCCAACATATCAGATTTGGCAATAAAAAAACAAACGCAAACACATTTTACAACTAGTTGCATTTGTTTGCGTTGTTGAAAACAACCGCAAACACAACATAAATTTTGGGCGTATTAAATTTTTATTAACAATAAATTTTTTTGGCTTTTTGCCTGCCATGCTTTCACAATCAATTGCCCTGTCATTTTAGAGGTTTTTATAGCTATGCTTCTCATTCTCGGGCTTTTTAAAATATTTTTTCAAATAAACAAATTAGGAGCATCTGGGGGTAATAGGAGCATCTGGGGGTAATAGGAGCATCTGGGCATAAACACACTCCCCAAACATCTACAAAATATTATTTAATTTAATTATTTAAATTAAAAATTAAATTTTTAGCAAATTCTTCCAATTATTCTAAAACTACAATGTCAAAATTATTAATTCTTTTCTCATTTATTGCATATTTTGTTATTTGTGTTTTTTCAATGCGTCAACATCGAACACGAGAAGTTGAAATTCAACATGTGTCTGACCACCCAGAAGGTCAGCGTGATGAAGGAATTGAAGTTTTCACTCCAGGAAGGAACTATCACCACACTGAGAAACAAAAAAAGGCCAAAAAAACTAACATCTATGAAACTTTAGCACCACAGGATCTGGAAGAACAAATTCGAACTCATCATGAAAATAAGGCGAAAGAGAATGAGGAAGCGAATTTGCCGAAGGATGAGGAGGCAAAAACGTCCAAAAATGAGGAGGATTGCTGCGGATGTTCAATTATGTGAAGACTTTTTTGTTAAATTTGGATGTTAGCTTAGTAAAGCATTTTTGAAGTATATTATCTTTGGTTGGCGAAAAATGTAAAAAAACTTTGGTCGAAAGTAAAGTGATTTGTAAACAACTATTAAATTTTTAAAAAAATCTATTAAATTTTTAGAAACCAATTTTATATTTTCGAAGTATATTATTTCATAAAATGTAGTAGTATAAAATTTATATAAATTTGAATTTTTGTTTGTTTAATTTAAACCCTGGAACTCAAAGAAAATATAGAAAAACATTTTAAACATCGAGTCTATTTGAATAGAAAGGTTAGTCAGTATTTTAATTAATTATCAATAGGTCCTCTCCGCATCTCCCACTCAATCCTCAAACCGCCAACCAGCCTCTGAAGGTGCGCCAGACCGAAAGGTCTGAGCCGCGTAAATCCATCTTCCATTTGAATTAAGTTGGGGTGAAATCTCAATTTTTTATAAACTCCAACATATCAGATTTGGCAATAAAAAAACAAACGCAAACACATTTTACAACTAGTTGCATTTGTTTGCGTTGTTGAAAACAACCGCAAACACAACATAAATTTTGGGCGTATTAAATTTTTATTAACAATAAATTTTTTTGGCTTTTTGCCTGCCAAGCTTTTGCAATCAATTACCAATATATTGGAAAGGTCTTGTGATTGTAGAGTGGATTTATTTATAGCTATGTTTGGCAATCTCGGGCTTTTCAAAGAAATTATTTTCAAAAAAACAAACTCTGAGCACCTACAGTAATAGAAGCATCGAAGCACTAACACACTCCTCAAACAACTACAAATTATTTTTCAATTTTCTTTATTTTAATCCTCCCCAACTCAATCCTCCCCGACTCAAATTTAATCCTCCCCGACTTAATCCTCCCCGACTCAATCCTCAACTCCAAACCGGCGCTATGAAGGTGCGCCAGACCGAAAGGTCTGAGCCGCATAACTCCATCCTTCATTTAAATTGGGTTGGGTTAAAAACTCAAATTGACGTAACTCGATGAGTTTAGGGACCCTTCTCAAAAGCTATAGCTTATTCGAATGAGTTCCTCACCGTAAATCACTCACTACTATATGTAAAGCCCTCGTTTCCTCACAGCCCAAATCATTTTTTTCCTCACTGCCCAAAAGTTAGGAAAAACTGCCCAAAAACTCACTCACGGCCCAAAAAACACACAAACAAACTATTATCATCGATTCAAAGATAATTTAAAGGACACAACAAGTGATGCAAAAGTTTCAGTTCCTGAACTTGAACCATGGAACCGGTAAAGGCCTGCGGTTTAGAACTAGAACTGTGGAACCGGCAAAGGCCTGGAACCGGTTTGGAACCGGTTTCAAATATACACCCTGGAACCGGGACTGGAACCGCCAAACTTAAAAAAGCGGTTCAAGAACAGAAACCGGAACGCCTAAATTTAAAAATCGGTTCCAGAACTGGAACCGGTTCGAGAGAAATTTTGGAACTTTTGCATCACTGGACACAACACTACATAAAAAGTAGAGTATCTTGTAAGCAATGGTTAAGGTAGAGGTAGAATCTTAAGCATGGAACTTATGTTCATTTCTCCATTACGGGACCATTGTTCAGAAATATTTTCTTAAAACTTTTTTATTTAAATTTATATATAATAAATTGATTTTCAATTCTTATTGAGTTTTGCTTTTAGCATGACAGGCTGTAAATCAATTGCCATGCTGTGGAGAGAGGACTTAATTAAAAATCTCCCCCCCCCCCTAGCATTCACTCGCATTTTACATATGCCATCGTAAATAATTAATAAAGCGCTTAACAATGTTTGTAATATATGTAAATAAATTAATTAACAAAATTAGTTTTAATTGTTGTCCATAAGTGTTAGTTAATGATATTATTTATCTATGCTAGAAAATCTCTCGTAATTAAATAATTTTTTATTTTGCATAATATATTTAATTTCAATTTATAATTTATAATTTATAAATGTTTTTTCAGTTAAATTCAGACAAGTCTGCTAAAAACAATGTCTAAATTAGTGAATTTCTCCGTATTCTTTGCTTGTTTTGTTGTTTATGTTTCTTCACAGCCGCTTCAATATTATTTTTCAAATGATGTTGAAATTCAACATGTTTCAGAGGATGATGGACAAGAAGTAGAAGAACATGTTTCCAATGAAGGTGAATTAAATGAGTATGGAAATGGATGGAATACTTTAAATTGGGGTGGAAAAGAAAGTGAGGTATTCGGTGGAAATATTAACAACAGTTACCCATACCGATATGAAGACCAGGCTGTTGAAAACTATGAAAAAAGCTTTGAGCTAGAAATGCGTAAGCAAGTGAAAATTCATAATGAAAACAAATTGAAAGAAATTGCCGAAGAGAAAGTACAGGAAGAAGAGGAAGATTGCAATTGCTGTTGCACAATGATGTGAAGTATCGTTTTGACGGAGTGTACATATTGAGTTTTGTAGATATTTTTAAAGTATATTTTAATTGACTTGAAATGAGATATTGTTGAAATTAAATTTTTCCCCTTTTCCTCGAAAAAACCTGACAACTTTATTTTTTTAACATAACAATTTAATTTATTTTTCGGAAAGGTTTTTCTAAGTTCCTTAAAGCAGGGATGGGTTGGGTTAAGAAAAGTAGGGTTTAGTGTCAACAATTTAAAATATTATTCGTTAAGTGTTTTCTAATATTTTTAAAAGAGGGGAGGGATAAGCTGGGGTGTGAAAATTAAGGCTTAGTGTCAGTTATAAGTTTCGGGCTTTGCGTAACTCGACACGTATATTCTCTAAATGTTATACGTTTTGGATAAGGGAAATATTTTAAAAGTCATACAAAAGTTAACAAAAATTTAATTTCAACAATTCTCAAATTCGTCAACATTTAAAACTTTTTAAACAACTTCCTAGAAAGTTTAAAAAAGTAGTTTTATATTCGAAATATATTATTTCATAAAATCTAGTAGCATAAAATTATATAAATTTGAATTTTTCTTTGTTTAATTTAATGCTTTGAAATCATTCCATAACAAAAATATCCTTCCAAACATCAAGACGACGAGAAGGGAGAAAGGTAAATTAGGCCATTATTTAAAACGATTAATAGGACTGAATTCAATATCTATTGATATGGCCGCCAAAATAAACACGGAAAATCGCTAAATATGCGCATATATGCCACGAAAAAGCCCAAAAAATGCAAATATGTATGAGAGACCCGAAATATGCAAAATATGCATTAAAACCGGGTCCTATAGTGTTCGGACCTATAAAAAACACCATTTTGGGTTTCCTACTTAAAGGTTTATCCGGATACAAAACATGCATTTGCATATTTTGGCTGTCTCTATCTATTAAAATAGAAGTTGAAAGAATCGGCCTGATGGCTCCTATCCCGCCCGGGTTTTAGATTTAATCTTCATTAACTTTATCTAAATAAAAGATCTGATCAAGTTTCATTTGATGTCAAAACGGAAAAATATAAAAATTCTAAAATAAAAATAGAGGTTGTCATAATGGTCATTGTGGGTCCTTCAATAGTTTCCCGTAATTTAAGAAAACTTAATTCTGCTCATTTGACTTCTTCCTCGTTTTTGCGCCAAAAAATGAAAAAGTACAATAAGAAATAAATAAAATCCTCATAATCTTCAAATGACCACAAATTTATAAAAGAAGTCAATTTTTAGGGTTATATTTATTATCGGTTCTCGACGTGTTTATGGTCGAAGACCCGGCAAGGTGATGTTGAAGAATCGGCGAGAAAGTCGGCATCGACCTACACTACTATTTTAAGGAAAGCGCAGTAATGCCATTTATCATGTTTGCCAAATGCAGTAACGTCAAAATTATTCAAAAATAATGCCAATATGCGTTTGTGTTTTTTACAATCGTCTCTTGCGTTAACCCCTAATAAGCACAACTTAACTATCTTCAAAATCTTGAAAGTTTCACTTTTCCATAAAGTCATATTCAATTAATTAAATTTATTTAAAATTCTTTTTATTTTTTGGCATTTAAAATTTTATTTAATCAATAAATTTATTTGCCTTTTTTTGCCTGCCTTGCTTTCCCAATCAAATGCTATATTTGGAAAGGCCTTGTGATTTTAGAGAGGAGAGGGAGAGGGCATTTGATTGAGAAATATTGAGTGGGGGGGGGGGGGTCTTTCTTTAAAGACATTGCTTAAATGTTTTTTCGCTAATTTAATTTATTTTCTAACTCTTGCTTAAAGTCACTTTGATAATGTTACTGACAAAAGTTGTGTTTTACCATCGAAACTGTTTTAACCATTCCGTTTGTTTTTCTGTTTTAACTATCTTGGCCATCGAAATCTCAAAAAAATTTTCGGTTAAAGCGCAATAAATGAGGGGTATATCTTCTAATTTATAGTTTGGTCTGTCAAAGTAAGCATAGAGATAAGAGTAACCGTGAGTAACCAGGATGACCGAACAAGGTTCAAAATCCCTTGTTTTAAACATTCTGGTCCCTAAACAATCTTTTCTGCTTTAATAAAAAATTTCAGTTCCGGATTCGAAGTTCTAGATGTATATATCGGATCAGGATTTCCGTGATTCCCCAGGATTAGAGACATAAAATAAAAAAGTCTGTAAATTATTTTCAATTTTTAAATAAATTTTTTTGATTTTCTTTATCGATTTTCGAAAATTAAACAACTCGTTAAACGCCAACTAAAGTGCATTTGTTATTAATTGCCTATAATAATATTTTAAAATCAAAAGAAAATGCCGAATATTTATTTGTCTATTTACGATTAATTTAAAAATGCTTAATCGTCTTGTATAATGAATTAAGTTAACATAACAGAGATAGTCTATTAATTAGAAATTTAAATGTTAACAAAAAGCACGTTGTTGTGTATGGGCGTCAGCCCTTAAAGTGTTTACTATAAAAGCACAGCCAATAGTTAGTTCTCGGTCTCAGTTTTAGTTCTTCCTACCACAACTTCATCTTCTTTGTATTTTCTTTGTGCGATAAACGTTCTGTTAGCTTCCTCTACGTAAGCGGGGTTCGTAACACACGTCTCATTTTTATTGTTAAAAAATGAATACTAATGTTGCTCACGATCGGTTATTAACCGGTACCCTCTGTTTTCGGTTAATCCAAATTTTAAAAGCCCGGTTTTCGGTTTTGAGTTTTAGACAAATACCGGTTTTATTTTTGTTACGACCCCGCTTACGTAGAGGAAACTAACAAAACGTTTATCACACGTAGAAATTAAAAAAGATGAAGATTGGGGTAGGAAGACGGAATAAGACTGAGAGAGTGAACTAACTATTGTCTGGCTTTTATACTAAACTTTTTAAGAGCTGTCGCCCATACACAACAAATTTAGAGGTATTTTTAATAAAATCACTCACTTTTAGAAATTTTCGGTTTTTTTTATTTTGTAAAAACTTTTAATTTTTGGCAAAAAATATCAGAATTTTCGGTTTAAAATCGTTCGTGAGCAACCCTAGTAAACACCTAAATCCGAACGTTAATTTTTTCTCCTTATAATTTTAGCTAAAACTAATGCTTAAACAAATTTTATTTATTTTATTAATTAATTTTTGTTGGGCGCTTGATGTTAAATTAAAAATTGGAGAAAATTACCTTGAAAGTAGACAATTTGATTATCTAAAAAACTTTCAAGAACCTATTAAATGTTTTTTGTGGTATAGAATTGGGGATAATGAGGATATAATTAGTGGAGAATTTGATGAAAATATTTATGTATTTAAAGACGTTCCAAAAGAAATTTATGAAAAAGAAGATACTGAAGAAAAGGAAAAATTTAAGGATGCAGAATTTCGTTGTGAATATGAAAAACATTCAATTTTATCAGAAATAATTCCTGGGAAAAAACATGGGGTAAATTTTTAATTAAAATTATAAGTAAAGGTAACAGTTTTTGGGAGAAAAAAGTACGTGCTTATGCAAATAGAGGTCTTTTCAATTATCATATTTACTGAATAATTATCCTAAATAATTGGTTCCGTGAGTTTTGCGCCGCGACTTATGCGCCGAGCGACTTTTGCACCGTCACTATCATTAAAATATATGAATAACTACAGCCGGACCCTTCTATATTAGGTTTGTCGGATATTTGGAAATCTACGATTATCCGGATCCGATATCAGAACTGAAAATAAGGGATATCCGACCTTTTTCGGATCCCGATCCGACAACCATACGCTATAATGCACCTGCTTCGGGCTGAAAATCATGCCGAGATAGGGTTAGCAGATCTAAATATCCTGATCCGAAAAAGTCAGCAGATCAGAAATCATTTGGGATATCGGATCCGAGGATTTTCAAGGCCCAGACCTAATTCATCAGCTACCGGACCCCAAATGTACTTCCTGAACTTCCTTCAGTTCCTAGATACAATTTTTAACCTCAATGGGTACACTAAAGTGAGGGCAGATTGTAAATATTATTTTATTTTTTTAAATAATGGCGACGCAAATGGGCCCTTAATAGGCCCCCTAGGGCCCTTAATAGGCCCCTAGAGAAAGTTTCGAGTTCTAACGCTTCTGATTAGATATGTAATAAAACATTTAAGAAAGCTATTATATACTAGATTAAATTATAGATTTTTTTAGAAATTTCATCGAAAATTATTTAATGTACATGGTAAAGATGTTAAATATGAAAACATAGAAAATATTATTTATCAAATTTCAATATTGGGAAATAAAAGCTTTATCCCAAAAAAGATGGAAATTAAAGCAAAACAAATTGATAAAATTGATGAAAATATAAATATTTATCGTAAAATGAATTTGTCAAATAAATTAAAAGAAATTGATTTAAAGGCTAGAATGGCTGATTTAATTGAGAAAATGCCTGAAGTTTATTTGGATAGAAAACAAAGTTTATTGAAAGAAATTAAGAAGGAGTATACTAAAATAATTCAAACAGGTTATCTTTTGTCGTAATTAAAGCAACAACAGGATATTGCTATTTATTAGGATGGGGGGGGGGGGCTAACTCAAGGAATACCAACTCAAGGGAAAGAAAGGTCAAGGAACGACCAACTCAAGGAATATTTTAAAAATCAGAATATTTTTAAAATCCAGAATTTTTCAGAATTTTTTTTCTAAATTATGTTTTTAAAGTGTTCTAATCTGTTTTTAAATTCTTATTTTCTAAAAATATTCAGATTTTTCAAGAAATTTCGATTTTTAAAATATTCCATGAATTGGCCATTCCTTGAGTTGGTCGTCCTTGATTTGTCTTTTCCTTGACTTGTCGTTCCTGATTTGTCGTTCCTTAACTTGTCCGTTCCTTGAGTTAGCCCGACACGTATTAGGGTTGTTCCCTGATGCGGGCCACGTTTTGGTGGTGGGACATTTTGGAGTGTGACATTTTTGGGTCTTGCCCAAAAACAAAAAAAATTTTTTACAAAATTTGTATTTTTAACAAATTTTTCCTAAATTTTTACTAAATTTTCAATTTTTGGCAGGATTTTGGGCAATTTTCGAGTTATTTTCCCCAAAAACCTCAAAAT